GGGTTAGGTTCCTTAAGACGGGCAGGGACCGAAAAAATCTAGCCCTTAGGAAGAAACCTTTTTTATTTGACGAGGTTTCTTYCTGAAATTCGACATGTATTACAGTCAAAGACAATATTAAAATCTCATAACAACATAACACAAAGGTATATCTGGGAATGAACTGGCTGATGAGCTCGCCCGCTCCGCAGCATCCATTAACATGGTAAGTCCTGAATYCTTCATCGTCGTCGATCCTCGTACAACACAGGAACTGCTCCGCAAGGAAGAAGGAGTATGCAGAGAGAGTTATTGTCAACAACTCCAAGGGCTGCAATAAGCTAAGTTGCTAATGGGTATGGGAATGTACCAATATGCTGGCGCTAGATGTGTCGTTGTGACTTAGGAGTGAGCACAATASACCKAAGGTCGCGATGCAGGCCTCATGTATTTATCTTATGGCTGATATATCATATATAGTGGTCCGATATCGGCTGTTCCGGAAAATTTTTAGAGAGAAATTTTCAGATCGGCATCTAAAAACTGAGCTCCTAGTTCACGTATATGCAGACATACAGACAGCCCACTCTGCATACATACATATATATATTTTTATAGGGTTTCCGATCTTTCCTTTTGGCTATTACAAAATTGAATATACGCTGTTCAGTAGCCTAAAAAAAATTTCGCTTCTTATGTACTCTAAAAAATTATTTAATAGGCTCCTCTAAAAAAGGTTCTCCAATAGTGAGCTCTTAATTGTAACGGAAATGTCCTCCGCCTAACAGTTTTCTATTTTTTATTATTATTAGACAGAAAAATGTATATCTCGATTCCAACTTCTTCAAATATATTTCGKTTTGTGGATTGTGTAGGACAATAAATGCTCATCAAAAAAGATCTATAACATTTTTTTCGTTAACCTAATAGTTTAAAASATATTAACGGTTAAAATATAATTATTTCAAAGAAATGATTTTTCTTATGAATTTCATAACTCAAGAMAAAAAAATATTATATTTCGAATTTTAAAAATCGTAGACTCGCATAAATATAATTCMTCAAATTTATAATATCAGAGTGGAAGTGACTGAATGTACCACACACAGACTAAAAGAATAACAGAATAGAAGAATTACTATTGACGCACAGTGTAAGTAATTAAAATTAAAAAATTATTTTCAAGAGAATATCAACTGGAAACGCAAGATTTACCATACATATATTTATGAATAAATGATGACAAAACGCATTGCCAAATGTGGCGACCAATGAATAATTAAATTAGAAGCTAATAAGCAATAAATATTAGATTTTATAATTGGGCATATATAGATATTTTCTATTGGTGCACAAAAATGTAGATTAGGAAAAAAATATTTTGCAAGATAAGAGCGCAAATTCTTAAGATAAGTTGTGGCACTTGTTTGCTTAAAAGGAAAAAGAACATAATAAACAACAGACTTAAGCACGGACCGGAAATGGCGGAAGGTAATCATAAAGTTAGGAAACAATAAACGATAAATATATTTGATTTTGTTTTTGCTATTAAATTGGTTACAAATATTGCTTAGAGATATTTCGCTTAGTCAACTTTCAATATATACACGCAGACAGTTTTATAACTTTCTTATAAGTGCTTTACGCGAATGCCAAGTGTTTGGCAGATAACTAAAAAAATGCGTTAGAAGAGTGGAAAATAATCTCACTTTTGTGAAGTAATTTGGAAAACAAGATATTTTACTTTACAAGTTCAGGTGTAAAGAAATTCAAAAAATATTATTATTTTTTTTTTTTTTTGTTAAGGTGTTACATGGGTTTCCTCGGGCAAAAAACATTATTTTTTAAGAATTTTTTTCTCATATAAAAAATTAAATATTTTATTAGAATTTTTATTGTTACATGGCCACTGCGACGCCATTTCCGGTGACACCCCGGAAAAAAGATGCGCCCGCGTTGGCAGGGTTACTCGGAACAACTTGAAAATTTATGATGATGTAGAATTTAATAAGAAAATCAAAAATAATAATTTTTTGAAACCCGAAAACCCCATAAATCACACTACATTCCAACAATGTATTAAAGAATAATTTAAATAACATTTGAAACAAATATTTTAAGGCAAAACTAAAAATAATTTTTAAATTTTCAAAATTTAATAATTTAAATAATTTAATAATGGAGTTACTACCGGAATTAAAATGTTTAAGTTCGAGAAATAAAAAATAAAAATTACAGTTTTTAATCTTATTTATTATTCAATTAAAAACTAAATGTTTCCAAAGATATTAGATTGAAAATTACATTTTTTATACTAAAAACGGTATTAAAAATAGAAATTTTTTTATTAATGCTCCGGTGAATATTTTAGTAGTTACTTGCAAATTTGAAAAGGCATGTCCGAGTGCTTAGTGCATTCCAAACCGTAAATGAATGTTTCTCAAAATTGTGTTTTCAAATCGGTGATTTTTTTTTTTTTTTTTTTGTTTTGAGCAACCGCCATTTCGTCTAAAATTTTTATTTTGCTTATTCCTTCGACTAATAACTAGATTTAACGAAATCTGTTTGGTTTTTTAATTTCAGAGGATCCAGTTAAGTGATATAATGGTCACCACAAAACGTTTTTCCTGAGAGGAGCACCCTGAGATTAGCTGTAGTTCCTCTTTCCTAATAAATATTTTTACTAATACCAAGTCTGAAAAAAAGACCATAATATGTGTACAAATTTTTGGATGCRGAAATTTAAAAGTGTKCTMAAAAAAAACTGGAAAATTCRTTTTTTCGGTCTTCTAACCGTATATAACCCCTTTAGCAAACAATTTGTCGTCACCAGCAAATACTTTTTTTCGGAGATTCTCCTGGAGATGGTATATGAAACCGAGTGAACCCAAAATTTCACAATATKAATTTATGAAATAAAAGGCCTCTTCAAAAAAAACTTGAAAAAACGCGAAGTGGGTATATCCCTTTAAATGACAAGTTCAAACTAGAATTAAAATATTTAAAGTACGATTCGATTATACGAGTGTAATATCTAATAAACTACAAATGACATTTTTTAGTGTTATTGCAACTTTTCTGATTTTAGCAATAAAATGCTCATTTCAAATTCGATTATGTTTTCTTTCATAGTTAGGCTTGAAGGTTTTTGTTGTTTTACCCTGTTATGATAAGTATTAGATAAGTTGTCATCGAGGTCATCCAAAGGTAGGCCCAGGAAACTTTCTGTTTCGAGGGCTCCAGACTAACCTTACACCTTAAAACATCAACTAAATATACTTGGTGCTGTAATAATGAACTCCAACTCCTTAAAAATCGAGTTTGGTTCCAGTTACGGGTCTAGTAATCCTTACATAGTTGTAAGGAATCCTTGTTCAGTCGAAATTGGCTGGTCGCATAAAAATCCGCGAATGTTTCTTATACGAGTATAAATTATAAGAGACTCGAATACTAAAGAAAACATTACAATCTTAAACTTACTTAAAGAAGTTAAATAAAACTCGAAACCTATAAAATCAACAAGGCAAAAAACATAACATCAATTGCCAAACAAGTGGCGCTACGCACTAACGCGCTCATATAGTAACCGCATGCTGGCATTGATACATATGTACATACATACAAATTTACGCACTTAACCACATATGTACATACATAACAATTAAAACGATAAAGGAATTTTAGTTGCCTTATCAAAAATTATAAATGGTAAAAACACAGCTTGTAGCTAAGCGTACTACACACCTCAATAACTGAATTAACCGTGTACAAAAGTAAACTGTTAATAACTGAATATCAATTGCGTGCAGCCGACCTAAACGACGAATGTCAGCGTCACAGTTGACGTCAACATYCGCCGTTGACGGCGCCTACAATGGCGTTAATGAAGACAGAACACCTCAAGAATGAATAAAGCTAATAATAAAACTCAACCGAAAGAGGGAGAATAAAACAATTTTTATCTTACAATGCTTAGCAAATAAAATGCATACAGCGTTAAATAAAATAAAATTGCAAAATACAATCACAAAAACACGAATAGGAAAGTCAACTCAAATAAATACAATTTCTTATGGTGCATGGGTRTTATAAAGTAGGTAGTATGGTATAAGATGCTAGGTTCATTATTCATGCGTATATGGGTATGCTTAACTAGATGTGACGTTAAAGTTATAAAACAAAGAATGGTTGGAGTGGAATGCGGTAGAGTAAAATAATGTTATAAAAAAATTGTAGTTGTGCGGAGAAACAATGTGGGTGGAGATAGAATAAAAACAAGAAACAAATTTAACTTCGGTTGCACTGAATCTAGAATAGCCGTCACAAATAAAAAGGTTTACATATTATGACAGTTCAGTTTATATGTCAGCTATATGTCATTGTGGTYCGATCTGGAAATTTTGTTCGGAGACAATAGTGTTGCTTTGGAAAATAATTTATGCTAAATTTCGTGAAGATATCTTGACAAATAAAAAAARTTTTCCGTACAAGGCTTATTCTTCCAGTTTCAATGACAGTTACATGCATACATATATGCCATAGTGGTTCGATCTGAATGGATATTTTATCGTTGCCTTACACAAAAATTCGAGCCAAATATCGTGAAGATATATTATCAAATACAAAAGTTTGCCATACAAAGGTATGACGATCATTCTGTTTGTATGGCAGACATATGCCATAGTGGTCCGATAWCGATGGTACCGACAAATGAATAGCCTCAATATCTCTAAAATTTACCCCGCTCACATCGGAATTGGACCGAGTTGGATCTCCATTGGCGTTTTGCGTTGTATCACTGGACTAATTCTTCTGACCTAGAGTGGAATGCAAGAGATCTACTGAAGTACTTGCACGAAGCAAAGTTCATCTTGCCGCATTCGTGCGAGTTCTTTCTGGATACCTTCTTATAGTCATACATACATGCGGTAAGGTCTAAAATGTTGTTAGACGCTATTTGTCCACGTTGTCTATTGTCCTACCTTTATAAGAGTGAGGTTAAAACATCTCGATAATCTTACATTCGGCGAACCAGAAGACATAGCCAAAACTGATATTAACGCTTTGTCGATCTGTAAGGCACGTTATGATCAAGTATTTAGGGTTTGTAGGGGCCAAAACGTACTGRTATTCTAAGCTGTTTAAGAGAGATCCTTCCTATGATCGACCTTTTAACCTGACTCGAAAAATTCAAGGACCAGTTCGCGTATRTACAGGCAGACGGCACGTAGCTGAATCGACTCAGCTCGTATACAGATCTACAGTGGAGATTAAAACATTAGCTCGTTGGGTATTGATCGCATTAGGATCAAAACCATTACCAATGCAAAAACAACGATAGCGTTTATATCTCAGATCGCAGAATATATCTCAGATCACAGAATAAATATTTCTAAATCTTTTTCTATTCTATACTATTCATTTCCAACCGGACAAAAACCCGAACTGGGAAAAAGTCAGCTATATTTTTTTAGCGCTGGCAGTGAAATAATTATGAACTTAGGATTGAAAATTTATTGGAAAAAAGTCAGCTCTGTGTTTTGTGTGCTGTCAGTGGAATAATTATGAGCCGAATRTAAAAAATTTAACGGTTAGTAAAACTGTAAAATTTCCCATATGTATTCATAATATTATGTTTCACATTATTCCAAAATGTCCGTTGCCRCCMCAGTCGGTCCACGTTATCTGAATGRACCCAGAGTTTTATCCGGCCAAGGACTGTCACACCGGCAGCATTCCCGCAAATTACTTCACAAATATTTTTCCATTAAAACAAGAACAAAAGTGTGCAAATTAAACAATTATATTAAATATTACGCCTAAAATTTAAAAATAATTGCTCGGAGCTGTTAAAAAAGGAATTCTAGTAACAGGCACGTACGAATATCGGTATAAACGGGCTATGTTTGACTAGAGGAGCTTCTGCAGAGGAGGAATATGCAAAAATAATGTTGCTAATACTTCTGAAGACAGAATGACATCTTGCATAATTCCAAAAAATTACTTAGAAATGGTATGACTAATGAGCTTTAGTTAATTTTATGGAAATGCATATAAAAACTATACTAATATATTTTTTCCTAAGAAAGTTAACGCTTAACGTTTTTAATTTTGAGGAATTTTGAGAAATAGGCGTAAATCACTCAGAGTTTAATATATAGCCGGTATTAAATCTAATGCTCATAATTACAAGGTTTTATATAATTACAGAGTTTTGACTTCTGGGTTAGTTGAGTTGTAATAACCTTTTGTTGTATGCACTTTAATCCATTCAATCCGAACATGCCTTTGTACACATTAGTTTGTATTTATTTTCGTCAAGTGTGAATATTATGCACCGCCAGAATTGATACGTTACGTCGACAAAGCACTGACGTTAAACTACAAAAGGGGCGTATAGGTATTTATCATCCAATTGGAATATTCATACATACAGATTGACGCATGCACACACAAATATATGTATATTTTTATCGCGCACCTTTTAATCAATTGTCAACACTTAAGCCACTTGCTTTCGCCAAATAAAGGCAAAGAATTTTTATATGAATATTACAAGTTACGTGAAAATGTGTTTTAACACCAGTGAAATAAAAAGAGAAATTAATTTCTTCAGCAAATCGCAACTTACACAACAGCTAATACATTTGTACATATGTATACACAGTAAAAATTATTTTTAAAACATTTATATGTTTGTTTAACACCCCCTCAAAGATTCATTGTGTAGCATTTATGTACGAGGACACAAAATAAAAACTCACCTAATAAATGATGCACTGAGATGACAAACAAGCTCTTCGATGTCACGTTATATTGACGATACTTTTTCAAAAATTTCAGCGGCATTATCATCTACTAATTAGTATTGCTTTGCACGGGCACTTTGCTCTACGTTACTTCGCTGCGTCGAGCGCGCAGCCACAGTCGCAGCTGGAGTTTGTTTATTGTCGCGTTGCTTTTACACACTGTAACGCAGTTGACGTTTTTCGTTTGCTATCGGTCGCTTTTCACGTTAGGCTACTAGGCACATTCAACCCACAATTGGACTTGTTGCGCTCTCGCACTCAGTCCCCAACTAAGGTGTAACGTTTCTGCCCGTTTGGAGCAGCATTAGCGCATACAATCACACGCACTTTTTTGTCGTTTCGTTAGCCATTTGCATATAAATTACACAATTTGTATATTTTCTTCGCTTGGTATTTCTATTATCGTAGAATAGGTAGAATTTAACGTGTATAGAACTTAATATTAATAGGTGTACACGTACACTTATTAGACACCTCACCAGAATTCAAAAGCCACAATTATTAATGCTTGCTTAATGGGCTTAATAGACACAGTATTACACTTTATTTTTTACTTATAGGATACAAACCAATTTAATAAGGTTGTATCTATAACCACATGCAATAAATTTAACGAAATCTTTACGCACTAATTAAAGCGGCTAACAAATATTTGTAGGCAACTAAATTATAAGAAACTTTCGCAAATTTTCCACGTTTTCGTAGTTGCCCGTCTGTTCTCGTTTAGATTTTTATCGACTTTCACGTATTTTTTCGTAACAAAATATATGCGGTTTCGTTAATAGAAAAATAAATAGACACATATAAAAAATGTTAACATGAAACTTAAATTAACTTTAAGAAAAGAAGAAAGAATTTCGTTGCGTGTTGTTTCGATGACTGTAACTTTGATAATTTTGACAGTCCACAAATTTTTTAAACGAACGTTTGTCATATCTACTTTATCACAAAGTTGCTTTGACATGGTATTTCTATRTCCAATTGGATTGGTTGGCAAGTCTAACTAGATAAACTGTTCCCAGTTGGATGAGAAATTAAGATGTAAGTCCATAACGTGCGTAAAATCTAACGAAAAACGATTCAGCATATTTGCAAACACAACTTACATTTAAAATAAATTTCTTTTTTATTATATTTCTTATAAAAATAAATGTTTAAGCAGACAYGAAAGTCGCTCCAGTTATTGCATGAAAAATTTCGAAATTAAGTCATATTTTATGACATATCAATTTCGAATTTTTAATTAAATTTATACTTTGCTCATCATCATTATATAWTATTGCATATTAAAGTTAAATAAATTTATATATGATTATWATTCAATATAATAATAATGTAATTATAATATATATGTATTTATTTAATAATTTATAAACATACAATTGTTTATTGGTGCATGCGAAATAATACCAGTATTTGGCAACGCGTACGCTCAAAAATTGTTGCCAACCACGTCTTAAGTGTTTACATTTGCAAATACGCTTTCCAATAAGAATCAACAAAAAAACAACAACGAATTAGACCAAGAAGCAAGTGCAAAATATAAAAATATAAAATGTACACAAAAAGAAACGACGAATAATCGAACACCAAACCAAAAGGGGATCTTCAGAAACAAAAGCGTTTGAATGCAAAGCGTTTTGTACATTCGCTGAGCAAAGTAGTAACTAATATTTCGTTGTATAAAACGCAATAGTKCAAAATAAATACAAAACTAGCCAGACATTCCAAATAGCAATAACAAAGCAGCAACGAACTAAGGCGAAATAGAAATACGATAGAAGTGGGCGAAAAAGCAGTAGCTGCAGAACACTCAAATACAGAAAAAAATTTATCTGTGCAAAGCATAAACAAATAGAGAATTACTAAAAAGGTCAATTGCATTCAATTCGCCAAAATAAAAATAACTGTGTTACAAAGTGAAAGTGTATAATAATAATAATTTTATAAAACTAACGAAAAYAACTGTATAACAGTAATTTTGTGGATTGTTACAGTTCAAAGGAAGTGCCAGGAAAGAATAACTATGGCTACCTCAGGATATCAACTAAATTTCAATCAGGATTTTACGTAAGTGCACGCATTATTCCAAAAATAAAAGTTGCATCAATTTTCTAATTCCAAATCAACATTAAAATGCGTCAAAAGTATTTGGATGTGAACARTTCACGCTTGCAAATGAAACCTTGAAAAACGTAAATAATAAAAAAAATTGCAAATAACAAGATAAATAAGTTGTATAAAGAGCTTTAGAAATGAAATAGAAGSCTCGTAAGCTTCAGCAATGGTTTACTGAAAGTTACTACTTTGTGGAGCTCTGTGCTGAAAACAAAATGCAATGGTTCATTCTTGTTATATACACGGGCATTCAAGCAAACAAAACTCCATGTTTAACCTATATTATTCTAAAAAACGATTGTTGTTAATTTGAAAGAACAGGTTTTCATTTGTTGTGCTTTGTGTGATTATTTCTTACTTAAGTAATTATTATTGTTATGCATCTTGTACGAGCAACAATTTTCAGCTCACAAGTGTTTACGTCAAAGAAGCACACAGCCAACTACACACCCTTATTTCCAAAGCATTTGCRAATTTGTATTGTTGTTGTTTCACAGCAGATGTCTTACTTTGCTTGACTTATGGATATGTAAAACAAAAACTAATTGAGTCGCCTTCGATTAAACAAATCGATGTAATTGTTGTACAGCTGATCATTAATTCCATCACATACATACATATGTCTATATATTTYTGCTGGTGTGTTGAGAACTTATTAAGGTTTGACCTTGATAAAAATTATCTCCAGCGGAAGGCGTGATATTGAAAGGAATCAACTTTAATGAAACAAAAGTACAAAAGAATAGTAATAAATAGGAAAATTGTTCGTGATTCTCACATAAAATCAGCGAAATTGTGGAGAAATGTGCGAAATAAGTAAATTAAAACAAGAAACACTTTACCTTCAGTTGCAACGTAGCTATGTATAATGCCCTGCACAAACAGAAAAAAAATTTACACAAGAACTTGATTTAATCAGTCAGTTTGGATGGCGGCTATGTATATATACATATGTATGGTATACTATTGTGGTCCGATCTAAATAATCTGTTGTGATATTGGAAAATAGTTCATGACAAATTTCGTGAAGATATGTTATCAAATGAAAGAGTTTTCCATATGTATCCGACTTTTTCGTCTGGGTGTTAGAAAAATTATGGCAAACTTAATACACMCTGTCCGGGRTACAAAAAGCAGACGTGAAAAAAGTGCATTAATTAAAGTTCATTTGAATGTTTGAGGGAACAAGAAAGATTGCTAATTTTGCAGCAAAAAGAACAAACATTTTGAGTATAATATGAGTGTGTGCATATAAGATATACAATATATAATAGCTGAACATCTGTAGAGGTATGTTAATGTTAATAAATTGGTTATTAACTAGGCGTCATAAATAAAAAAAAAWTCTAAAATTTGCCATTCAGCTGACTGGGGAGCTATCACCTTTCTAAGGCGAATGCACTTCTGTAAACMACATTGAAAAGTTCAAGGTCTGCTTTATCTCAAACATACCACAACCTGTTATTATTATTATTATTATTTTTTTTTTTTTTGTTAAATGCACACTTTTCTTGCTTTTTGGACTTCAGTATTTATCACTATTCTCCTTATCATTTGTTTGTTGTTAGATGACGGCGTTTGAAATTAGAAATAAATATAAAATTGCAGCCAAAAAATAGATATAATATAATTTTGAAATATATTCGTTTCTATATGTATGTACTGACAGGTGTTTTTTTGTTTTCTATTACTAACGTCGATATTCAACGAATAATTTTTTACCACATTTGTATTCGACTGTTTATATGTGCATGATTAAATACATATTGAGTTTAAAAGTGCAATGTTCATAACGATCAGCATAATTTCTTTACACAAATTATGAATATATAATCAGTTGCACGTGATCACCAACGTGTTGTGTCCGGCGTTTTTCAAATCATTCGACAGCATACAAATACCTACCTAGTGGCCATAGTGACACATCAATTGCAAATTATCGCCGCAGCAGTTCTAAAAAGTATACATACATACATATGTACATATGTACATACATATACATATTTTCGTATCACTCCACAGTTCTATAACTTTAATATTGGGAGCAACGTCCTTTTACCTGCCAATGATTAAGTTTTTGCGTACGTACAATCATACATAAATGTAATATGTTTAAATGCTTGCGAGCATACATAGTATGTATGTACTTATGTACATATATGGATTTAAATTAAAGCATGCATAAGCAATTTTTCACGGCAGCGCAATTTCTGCAATCTTGATTTATTGCATTGGGTATATTATTAAATGTTTATAAATACGATTTCATTTAATTGATAAAGCAGCTTTCTTATATGAGCACTTGTTGTCACTTAGCACAGGGTGCCATAAACAAGATTTCGATTCTTCTAAATATTATATAATATATAAATAAATGTATACGTAAAAACGGTATT